ATTAACACACATTGCATTCAAACATCCATGGGAACACAAAACAACCAAATGCAGCATATGGAATTTTTTGTTCGTCCCTGTTACAGTCCCATTCGTGTTAAAACCCCATGGGACAAGAAAAGCATCTGCTTGTAGGTTATGCCCATAATAAAACTTTGACTTTGAGATATGAGCATGTTATGAGTTCACGAATCGATCCCTCCCTCCCCCCGCCCCCCCCACACACACCTATGGAAACAATTACACCAATCCCTTAGAACTCCGTCACACGACCAAAATGACATAACTGAAAATTCCGGAAGCGCAGAGCTGAGAATGTGATGTGCTACACACACACACACACAACAATCGACCCCTCAGGTTGTAATGTTATCCTCCACTACCCTTGGTTTTACCCTATCTAATAAAGTGCAACAACACGATTATGAATTAGTGAAAACAATTGTTCGCCTTAAATTCTTTTCGCAATGCGAGTATGCGCCCCAATTCGGAAGTTAAAATAGGCTAATTATTCGATTCAGTTGAGCGTACAGACAGATACAAATTCAATCCGTTTGGATTCGGCGAGTGATCGTGGAATTTTACCAGTCACAATCCAGTCAAACAGTTCGAACCAAATGACGGTCGATGGATCAAGGGGAAGAACGAACATGAAAGTCTGTGTGACCGTTACTGATATTTACAGGCTTCTCCATCTCCCATCTCACTTTGAAGCCCACCACTGCTTGTGGTTATTCCGCTGGTTTCTGGTAGACTGAGGGTTTGAGCATTGTGCCACAGTTGGGTTTCAGAGCGACTAACAGATTGGTGATTTCATTGTGCACCACGTGCACTAGCGTTTCAACAGAAATATGAAATGCTCCGTCCACTAGCTACCAATCCTCATTCAGTGTCCTAATGCGTGGTTGATCGGATTGACGATGAGCAACCTTTGCTTGAAGACCGATTCACAACTGTCGTCTGATTAGTATCAACTTTTGGCGGCTTAGATGCGTCTGTGTATCAAGCACAGTGAGGATCCGAATCGTACCGTAGCATGGTTCGTGTCTACAGGCTTACATAATTGAGAATGACAGTTTCGAATCGATTTTCATTGCTGGTAGTGATTTGTCTCCAGTGCTAAGATTTATGGCGAGGTTTTCAAGCAAAGTGACGTCGAATTTTGTGTATGCGAGAAGTTGGTGCTCAACAGGAACAATTCATGATCTGTTCAGAGTTAAAATAGGCGAACTCTGTTGTCCATCGGATGCATGTGGGCCGCCCGAACACATGAGATTAGATTTGGGCGTTCAACCTAACCACGACATCTATGATATCCGCTGAGTAGTAAAGCAGTCCAAGGGAAGTCGTTGTGGAAATTGGTAGTCAAACTCATTCGAACGGTAATCAGTCGATGCGAAGAAGAATAGGCAACGACGCTTTAACCGGTTGCTGACCTGTGCTGTTGACTCTCACCAAACCATTGAGACATACCAGGTGATTCACGAAGACCGAAACACACTGCTGCTGCTGCCAAGTAGAACTTTTAGCTACAGTTCAGTAGCACTCTGACCCGACGAATCTGTCTCAAATGGCAATGGTTGAACACAACACACACAGACACACAAGCCTGTCCACTGATGGTCGATCCAATTTGAAGAAAATGCTGCTTGCATTTTCCACAACTGAAGTGGTCTGCTGCTCGTTTTGCCAGGAACAAGACGATTGAATTCTTCGCCTGTTTCCCGAAAGCTCAAACCTGACGCATTCAGTCAGACCAAATGTGCTTAATCATCGGTAGTCAGGTCCATTTTGCAACGACTGACAATTGTGATTGTTGTTTTTACGAGCAGCGACAGGTCAAAACAAAGCGGCCGGCTTTCCCCATCACAAACACACCCACAAACAAATTTAAAAAATTAAAATTTTATTATCGGAAAAACTTACAAAAACTTCGCTTATCAAATCTCATAGCGTGTTTACACTTTGGTTCGGAACACGATTCACTAGATCACAGTTAGTCCACGTATGTAAAAGAGTAATGTATTGTTTTTCATGAGCATAAGAGAATGTAGTTGGGTGTTGGAACATAATATTTAACAGATTACCATCAAGCTCACGCTTGAAAAATAATGTTGGCCCACAGACTACGTGAGGTGGTAAAGTTCCATGTGCTGCACACTGACTGCAAACCGATGGCGTCTATAGTTGAGACGGTTCTTTTGTACTGCCAACTTCAGTTGGTACCATCTGAGATGAACATTGGTTAATAGGATCTAAAGAGATCTACATGGATGGTTGGCCTATCAGAAAATGGACTGGAGACCTTTGAGCATCTTGGTAAACATTCTCTGCGGATCTTAGAGTGCCTTTCGATCTCGCTTCAGCCATGGGTTCCAGGCCTCAATTGAGTACCCGGTGCGTGGACGGATATATGTGGCTAACAGACGTGGGAACAAGGCTGGTTCAAAGGATCCAAGAACAGGTTTAAGCAGTCCAACCTATTTTACTGCCATGGAACAGTTCGCAGAGCAACTGAAGTCTGTGCGAATGATTACTCCCGGATCCTTCTCGGATGGAGCATGAGGCACGGTTTCGTGTTCGAGAGTGTAGGAAAAACGATCATTGTGACGTAGTGATAAGACTTTGCATTTGGTAAAGTAAACTTCCATGTCATTGCAGACAGATCATCTTTGGGCTTCGTCAAGGGCGTTGTGGAGATCAAATAAATCTTCTAGTTTGGTAATATCTTCTATATTTGGGCATCGTTTGCAAATAGCAGAATTTATGGTCCGAGAACGTCTGGCAGATTATTTATAAAGGCAAGGAAAAGCCGTGAACCTAGCATAGATCCTTGTGGAATCCCACGGTCGACATCTACTGGATCAGAAACACGAACTGACATGGTACGTAGTCGAAGAAACTCCTCGGTTCATCCTAGTACGAGACCACGGATCCCATAGTTATACAGCTTACGTATCAGTATTTGATGATTTACCCTATCAAATGCCTTAGAGAACTCCATGTCAATAACATCTACCGCTTTGCCTTGGTCTACAGCGTGAGTCCAACCGTCCCGAGCCAAAATCAAGTTAGTTGCGGATGGACGATTTTTCCGAAACCCGTGCTGGGCTGGGGCTAATAAGACAATATTCTCCAGATGATCCATTACCGAATCCGCAACAATGGATTCCATGACTTTGGACAACACTGGAAGGAGATTGACGAGTTGGTAGTCGGCTGGGTCACTACGATATCCACCTTTGCTGGGACAGTTCGGCCAGTTCTGCTATTGGCCATTAAGAAAACAAGATAAACACAGACTGTCGGTGTTTGAACACTGCTGTCAACGCAGCATTGCACGAATCTGGTGGAGTAGCCAGATGAGTAATGCTGAGGTTAGGGGCAGTTTTCGGTAAATACGTTCACCCACTGGAGCAAGTGGTCGACCTCCATAGATTATGTTGGCTGGGACATGTGTTACACATGTCACCAGATAGGTTACCACGGCGAGCGATGTTCGCCGAAGCAGATACCGAGTGGAAAGAAAGCCAGAGTTCGCCGTTGTTTTGATTGAACTTTGGATCGCTTCCTTGATTGCCGACCAGCGTTCGCTGAGTCCTCCGACTGATGATTGAGTTGAGATGCGATCTGATAGTTCCGCTTTGAAGGCCGATTTGCAACTGTCGGTGAGTGTATTGTGGGCATCCGTTTTCGGCGGCTTTTCTGCGGTTATTTATCAGGCGTAGAGAGAATCTCGCTCGTAGCAGAG